TAAAAAAAAGAAAGAAACCAACATTAAAAAAAAAAAAAAAAAGGAAAAAAAAAAAAAGAAAAATATTCCAAACAAAGAGGGAAGTCTTCAATTTAGATCTGAAACAAGACAGGCTATCAGTCAAGCTCCTTCCCCTCGCTGCAGCATTCCAGATGCAAGGTATTCAGGGAATGCGAGCAGCAGAGACGAAATCATTGATCTGCTGGGGGGTAACAGAGCTGCGCCCACCCCTGCGCAAGAGCTGGGGGGAGAGGGCTGCCCCCCACCCCCAACAAAGAGGGAAGTCTTCAATTTAGATCTGAAACAAGACAGGCTATCAGTCAAGCTCCTTCCCCTCGCTGCAGCATTCCAGATGCAAGGTATTCAGGGAATGCGAGCAGCAGAGACGAAATCATTGATCTGCTGGGGGGTAACAGAGCTGCGCCCACCCCTGCGCAAGAGCTGGGGGGAGAGGGCTGCCCCCCACCCCCAACCCAGGGCAAAACCAGCTCGGCAAGATCCCCCCCCCTCAAAGGGAAACAGCTCTCCCTGCCCTGATTTCAATGTTACCAGCAACTGCAACAAAAATCCAGGGGGATTTCTGGAGCCAGGGAAGGGCTGAGCAGCAGTTTGCACCGGGGCACTGGCCCTGTGGAAACCCTCCGTGGCCTTTTTCCTCCCCCAGGATTTCCTGAAATTGGGTTGTAGTTTTTAAAAAAATCCCTCCGAGAAGTTGATTTTTTTTTTTATGTGAGTTTAATGTGAGTTTAGAAATGTTTTCAAATTTTACTGCCCCACTCTCACGTCAACCTAAAGCTGCTGCTGATTTAATCCGTAAAAAGAGTTTTGGGCAAAAATTGGGGTTTTTTTTGAAGATTTAAATCTTTGAATCAGGCAGAAATGTTCCTAATGAGTTTTTACAATTTCTTTACAAGTTCAAAGAGTTGTTGTTGCCACTTAGGAGTTTGGGGACATTTCTTAAGGGAAAAGGTTGAAGCTGGTTGGTAAATAATGCAGCTGAGATTTCACTGAAATGGGGTTTTCATACAAAAGGGTGTAACTACTGCAGCCTGCTGAAGCGTTGTTGTTGATCTGAGGCAGAAAATACCTAAAATAGAAATAATCTGTAACAGATTTTAGCAGTAAACAAGAACAGAATATATTCTGTTATTTTTCTGCTGAGTATCGTTTGAATCTTTCTTTAATTTGATTTTGGTGTTTGTTTTTTTTTAATCTCTGGTGATATCACTAGTATTTAATTTGGACAGCATTAAAGATGCACTCAGAAACCCCAAAAACTTTAAAAAAATCTTCATTTTCAAAAGTTTGAAAATATGTTATATTTTTAAACATATATTTTATATATTATAAAAGTTTGAAAATAAGTAATATTACTACCTAATAAATATGGGCTGCAAGTTTTCAGTAAAATACACAGGTCACAAGGGGAAAAAAAAAAGAATTTTGTTTTCATAGAATCTGTTTCGATCAAATCTCAACTACCAGAAATAATCTGAACCTGGAGCCAGACTGCCCTTAAAACATAGGTGAGAATCCAACAGAATAAGAAGAGGGAGGGCTCCAGTTGGGAAATATTTCCTTTTACTTAAGTGGAATCCCAGTTTAAAACACCTTTTGTTCAGTTTTTATTATGTGGAAAATATTCACGACTGGAAAAAGCAGCTTGTATCTAAGAAGATCCAGCTGATTAAAGCTCGTGTCAATAAATTTAAGAATCAAACTTGATAGGAAATTAATAGTTTGCTTTAAAACAAAATTTAGGTTTGAAGTAGATTTATCAGTAAGCCCCTGGTTGTCTCTGTGTTTGAAACACCCTCTTGGCATTTAAATGCCATTTTGTTGGAGCCCAGGAGCAGAGGAGCATTCCCAGCCCCCAGGAAGGGGCTGAGCGATGGGAGATGCCCCCTCTGATCCCTGCAGGGTGGGAGGCTCTGGGGCAGGTGGAAATGGTTAATGCTCGAGGACCTGCCTATTCCCCAAACATTTCAGGGCTTCAGCTCAAAACAAAGCAAATGCTGCAGTAAACTTTGGCTTCAAAATCAGCTTCCATTCTGAAAAATCCTTTAGTTCTGGTACTAAAAAGCTGGAGTCTCTTTAAATCAAACCCAACAGATAAACCACAACCAAGCACCAGTTTGCTTCTCCTCCCCATCTGCTGCTGCGCAGCTCCTGGGCGCTCAGCAGGGCAGGGTGCTCAGCTCCGCTCAGGTCCCCGGGAACAACCACCTAAACCCTCCGGTGGGGTCTGCAGACGCACAGAGATCTGTTCAGATTCCCACCCAACAAAGCCGCTTTGTGTGGATTTGGGTTTTTCCCCTCACGATGGAAAGGGTTCAGCTTGGGGGTTTCTGTCCCTTTCTTCAGGCGAGTGGTAAATCCAACTGCGAGCGAAGGCAAACCCTTATCAGAACACGCCCTGAAATGTCATTGTTCAGTTAGTCCCCTTAATTTTCACTTTTTCCCCAAAACGAATATGCCACAGCTTCTTTAGAGCAGACCTTTCGAACCCGTCAATTTAGTTTTTCTCCCTCAAACATCACCGTGAGCAGACGGACAGAGCTGGAGCAGCCATTGCTCCTACGCCGGAGCGATGGGGGAAAGCTTTGGTCTTGGTACAGTGATAAACTAAACTAACGGAGTTGGGAGAGCATCGTGGGGGATGAATCCTGCCATTGCTGAACTCCCCCTGACCTTATTTCAAGCAGGGGCTGGTCTTTTGA